GCACTTAACAACAACAATGATAGTTTACAGTTCAGGAAGCTCAGGCATAGAGAATATATACCATTAGAAACTTCTCGCTCAAACCAGAGCAAACTTTACATGTTAACTGAATTGCAGCAACACAAAGAATGCTAGCTACCTGTAACAGCTCCTTCTAGAAGAAATGTAAGTATAGTAGAAAATAAAACTGAAAATGAGAAAAGCCAACATTCAAAAAACTGTTAAAAGATTTACTGAGTGCCTTCTATATTCATATTACTGAGCACAAGTGCCAGGGGGAGACAGAACACTTTTACAGTCACTTTTTGGAAATAAGGGAGGATTTAAAAACAGAGTAGGCACATTACTACACTGAATTAATGTAATTTGGGGATTGAGGGAAGTGGTCACTGTAGTTAGAAATAAGTTGATAAACAAGTGGGGGCATAAGCAAGGCTTTGAAGGATTAATAGAATTTTTATACAGTTTGGGGAGGAGGGCAGAAGAACGAAGGTGAAATTTGTTCAAAACAAATATGGAAATAGGCAAGAAACATTCATAAGACCATGTGAGGAAATCATTCTGGCTAAAATAAAAAACTCATGTTGAAGGACAAGGCAAGTTTACCCTTGCCTATAAAACTGAAAGTCAATGTCAGAAAATAAGTCTTTTTTTTTTTGAGTTTGTTAAATTATTCCTAATCAACTTCTCTGTCTCCTAAAAGGTTTCTATTTAAAAAATATAATCTTTCATTCTTTTTTGCATAAATTTTTTGAATATAAAATATATTTTACAGCAAAACATTTGCTTATCATTGTTGTTGTTAAGTGCCGTTGAGTCTTTTCTGACTCATAGCCACCCTGTGGTGAGTTTGAACCAGCCTTGCGGTTCAAATGGAACCAGCCTTGTGGTCCAGCACTTATCCTTCAGTGCCACTGCAGGACTTCTTAGCTTTTATCTTTTGGGAATATCTTATGTCCTTTGCCCATTTTCCTCTTCCAGTATCAATGTTTTGTCAGATTATAGCAGCACTTTAGACATTAAGATTGTATTCTGTTCTGTTTTGCATAGATCCTGTCTTGCCCCTATTACCCATGACTCTGCCTCCTAAAACTCAGTCACCAGGCCCTCATGGAATACCATCATTAGAGTCTTCTATATCCCAACTTCTCTTAATATCTGCTTCCTTTTTGCTCTATACTTTCTTCTGTAGTTCTTTTTCCTCCAATGACTAGATCTGCAGGTGGGGTAGGTGTCTTCCTTATAGCGTCCCAGACTATTCTCTCTCCTACTTCCTGAAAGCCCCCAGCTTTGATTCTCGTGTGTTGGGCTCTTCTTCCCACTACCCCTCATTGGCACAACCATCTGCCATAGCCCTCACCATCTACCTTAATTTCTCAATCATTTTAGATTCTAACTCATGCTCTCCAATATTCTTCCAATTATACCCGATATCTTCTGTCCTCAAAGTCCTTGTCTCCAAAGATTTTTGTCCTCTGGACTCAATGGCAGTGGATTTGAGTTTCAGTTTTGACTTTTCTTTAGCTATTTAACTCCAGATCTTTTATTATCAGTAACTGTAATGCCTGTATTACTTCAGTTTCGGATCTCATTCACTATCACTTCTTACCTTACTAGGCTGATCCTTCTAAAATCCCAGTAATAGCATCTTGACTTCTCTGGGACTTTCAGTCCATTGATCCTAATGTCTTTTTCCACTGTCGTTCACCTTCTGATCTCCTGTCTCCCTCCCTTGTTTGTTTAGTGCCTTCAAGTTGGTTCCAATTCATAGCGAATCAGTATAGGGTTTCCAAGGTGCAGCTGGTGGGTCTGAACTACTAACCTTGTGGTTTGTAGTCTAATGCTGATCCTACGCCACATCAGGACTCTCTCTTTTACCCAGTCTGAATTCTGGGGTGCATCAGTGTAAACCTTCTCTTGTGTTCACCTTCAACTGCCTGGTCCCGCTCTCAATTCATTGTATTTGCTTCCATTCTTCCCAACTGTTTTACATTGTCTCTTCCATCCTTAAACTCCTAACACCTGCTTCCACAAACGCACATTAAGCTGATGACCTCACTTTCTCCTTAATTCTGAAATTATAAGCAATCAGACAGTTTCACAAAATCTCACTACATTTATACACTTACTCAGATCTGTAACCATTTGCTTGACGTTCATTCCCTTCTGTTACTACAGGTCTGTTCTGTCCAAAGTAATGCTATAATGCATGCTCCTAATACCCAGCTTTATGCACAATACTCTAACAACCTCTTGCCTTCTCAGGGTACAACCTCCGAACACAGGAATCAAGTCTTCCCTTTCCTGCACCATTATTTTTTCCCATTCTGTAGGATCAGCCTCTTGAATGTAAAAAAAAAAAAAATGTTCTTCTGCCATACTTAAAAACAAAAAACACTCCTTAACCCACTCCCTCCTCCAGCTACTGACCCTTTTTTTTCTCTTAGCAAAACTCCTTCAAAGAACTGTCTCCAATTCCTCTCCCCATCTCTCTCTTGAATCTATTTAGAATAAGTTTTCGCCCTCACCACGCCACCGAAACTGCTGTAGTCCAGGTCCCCAGCAACCTCCACATTGTTAAATCCAAAAATTAATCCCAACCTTTTTAATTGGCCTGTCAGAACTGAACATTTAGTTGATCATTCACTGCTCCTTTAAATTCGGTCTTCATTTGCTTCCAGGGCCACCACAGCTTTTCTCCTCCCTTGCCGACAGCTCCTTTTCGGTCTCCTTTGCTTGATCATATCTCCCCAATCTCTTAGATTCCCTCGGACCTCAACCCCTCTACCTACACTCACTCCTTGGTAAAGCGGGTCAAATCTAGCAGCTTTCTATGCCAGTCAGTTATATGCTTATAGACAACAATTTGTAATGTACAACACGGACCTCTGTAAAACTAAGCTGGAGGGGGGAAAGTGGACGGAGGGAGAGCTCCCGGGACAGGTTCACAAGGTAATTGATGGTGAAGGTGTTGTGGGGAGCCTGCGAGTCCTGAAAGTCATGGGAGTAAGGTAGGGTTGGGGATAAGGGTGCTGGCCTGACCTGCCGGACGGTGCGCAGCAGCGAACACAGCATGGAGGCCGCCATCTTGTCCGCCCTAAACGTCAAAACGCTGCAACTTTATTAACACTGTCAAAAACAGACGAACATGAGGGGCGGGGAACGTGTGTGCTTTCTAAGGGCTTGGGCTTCCACACTGGAACTTTCGGGGGCGGGTCTTTAGTGCTACCGGAAGGAGGGGTTAGTTGAGGGATTGGAGTTCTCGCGGTATTTGACGGGACTAGAGTAAATGAAAAATCAGCAAATATAAATTTAACACTGAGGGATAATCTAGCGCTAACAGTTCTTTTTCTCTCCTGTATTATACACTGTCGGTATTATGCACTATCGATGTCCCTACCCTCCTCCCTTCTTTCTTCCCCTACTAGTTAGTTCTTCACTACCTCGCCCTCTCCAGCTACTCAGTTTAAAACACAGATTGCCGGAAATACAGGGATTATATCAACTCCTTCTGTGATCGTTCCTGAAGATCTCGCAAATCTCTCTCTACAAAGTCCTTAAAAGGATTTCCGTTTTATAAGTAAGGTATTTGAAACTCGCAGCGTTTCAGAAGCAACACCTATAGGAGTGTTACTGCCCTCGAGTCTGTCTCCGCGACCTCGTATAGATATCCCGAAGAGCAGTTGGTGGGTTTGAACTGCCGACCGTGTGGTTCGCAGTCCAGTGCTGATCCTACTGCGCCATATCAGGCTAAATTGGGTTTTGAATCCGTGTCCAGACTTTTTACACCAGTTTTTGCTGAGGTTGCCACTTGTCTCTCTACAGTGTTAACTTTTCTCAAACATCCACTTCTTTTCCAAATGTCTCTCTACAGTGTTAACTTTTCTCAAACATCCTCTCCTTTTCAACGACCCATGATCTTTTACAAATCTAGCCTCTTCATCCATTTCCTACTTAAAATCCTCCAAGACCAATTGGAGGAAAACATCACATTGATAGGACCCCTCATGGCCTGCAATGAGTGGACCCTTCATCCCTGCCTCCTTTGGAACTCCAAATTTGTGTCCTTTGGAACTGCGTGTTTACCTTGACTTGCGCTGCTGTGTTCACTTCCATTCTTTTGCACATGCTTCCACTCCCTCTGTTTTGTTTTTTTTATTCTTTCCTCTAGCACAGAGGTGGGGAATGTCCGGCCCACAGGCTGTAAATTGTTGTTAGGTGCTGCCGATTTGGTTCCTACTCATAGTGACCATGCATAGGGTTTCCAAGGAGCGGCTGGTGAGTTTGAACCGCCGACCTTGTGGTTCAAATCGAACTTGCACCCCAGTGGTTTATCTCACAGCGCCACACCAGTACTCCACTGGGCCATAAAAGGCCCACAAAATCATTGGTTTGGCTCTGCCAAGGAAGCTGCGCTTCCAGCCATCATATTGCTGTTGTTAATGCTGTCAATCAGTTTGACTCATAGTGGCGACCCTGTATAGTGTTTCCAAGTAGCAGCTGGTGAATATGAACCACACTGCCTTGCGGTTCAAACCAACCTTGCAATTCACACGGACTGTAAGATCCAGTGCTTATCCTGCCTCTCTACACCAGAACTCGTAGTCATCACACTAGGGGTGAATTAATTGTCCAAATTGTTGTTGTTAAGTGCCGGTCGAGTCGGTTTCGACCCATAGCGACCCTGAATAGGGTTTCCGAGGCTGTACATCTTTACGGGAGCAGATCGCCTCATCTTTCTCCCACGGAGCAGCTGGTAGTTTCGAACTGCTGACCTTCCGGTTCGCAGCCCGATTCGTAACCACTATGCTACCAGAGCTCCAAATAGAGCAGGTTGATTTTTTTTTTTAATTAAAGGTTTTTATTGTGGATTGAGTGAAAGTTTACAGGGCAGATCATCAGTTTTACATTCAACAAGTCATACCCCTTGTTTCATTACAATGATTATAATCCCCTCCAAGTACCATCAGTTAACAGTATTTCTATCTACTTTAGCTTTTTAAAAAACAAACAGAAAAAAAAAAAACACAAAAAACCACTCAGGCATATATAATAATTTACATCTCCAAAGGGCACATTCTGCAAGTCTGCTCCTGGCCACCAGCTCTTAGCCCCTCTCTTCTTAGTCCATGAATCTAGAGTCCTCAGCCGTGCCCCCTCTCCATGCCCCCATCTCTGCCTTCATCTCTGGCCCTGCTGCTTCTCTGGATAAGGTACCGCATTCTGCTTGTGCGCTTCTCTCTTGATGGTCCTAGGGTCCTCTGTTTCTGGACTGTAAGATTAACCACTCCCGTTTTTGTTACAAAACTTCTACCTTTACAATTGTGACAGTCGCAATTAGTCATGATAACAATTATTCACTACTGAATCTTACGAATCTATCCCCATCTCTTTTGACCAGACCCATCTAGACAAGATGACAGCTATTTAGTGGGGACTCTTCTTTACCCCCATACTCTTAAACTAAACTCCCTCTTGAAACCTTGTAAGCCAGTCACTTTGTGCCTTTATTGCCCCCTCAATTTAGGTAGCCAGTGTCTAACTTGCCCGTCCCTATCTACCCTGTGTACAGAGGGGATAGCACTGATACTTGATGTGAAGATTCCTTCTTTCTCTGTTGATATTTAGAGTAACTCCCGCCCTGAGTATAGGTCAAGCTCATCAAATTGAAGCAATTTACCCTTGTTTCCTTTATAAAAAAAAAAAAAAA